CCCATAGGCGACAGTGCTGCCATCTGGTTGTTTGAAAAACGATTAATTCCTTGCCACTTGTTTTTGTTCATATTGGATTTCAAGGAATGGTGGCCAGATACAAATACGGTAGATGGCGATGACTGCAACTCAAAAATCAGCGACCAATGATGAATACCACAAACGAATATGATTTCGGCCAGTGATGATGATGATTACGGCCAGAAATGATAACGATGGAGCCAAGAATGAGAGAGCCAGGTGGATGGAATGATGAAAGAGCCAATGATGAGCGATCCGACTGGTGGATCGTATAGCCAATGATGAGGGGATGGGAAGTGGGATAATGAATGATGATAAATTTGATGATATGGTTCGAGACCATGTAAGCACAATTTTTATCAAAAAAATCACTGAAATTTTCAATCACCATGCACGAAGAAAATTTCGATTCACAACTGAGCAAATGATTTCTTTGTTTATATATGCTGGCATTGATCACAGAAAATATTTCGATGGCCAGTCATAAGCATGGTACAAATGATAGTTGTGATGATGATGATGATCAATTTCTTGATGATTCAATGGTAAATTAATCGAACAAAAACAAAATTTTTCTTGTGTTGAGCAGCGCGTTCGATGAAAAGCACACATAAAGTGGTAGCACGCTGTTTTCAGGGAAGCACACAAGAAGGCTCGAAACTATGTTAACTCAAATAGTTAATTTGTGTATCTTTTGGTGAGCAAATCAATAAGCTGGACTGCAGCCTTTTCATGTAGATGTGTGTTCATGATTGCTCACTTGAACGAGCCACAATATGTTCATATATGATGTGTACAATATTGTTGATGTTTACATTCGAGCAATATGTTGATCATCATTTGAATTATTTTCAACTGGTTATTCCAGCGTATTTTTAAAACAGATAAGTATCACAGCCAATTTGATCAATTTGTTAACTTTTTCTTTTTCTTTTCCCAAAATATCACTGGTCCATCCGAATGTTGATTGTGGCTTCAATTATGGCATCATAACAATAATTCATGTTGGCTATCATCAGAATTTCGTGACAGTACCGTTATCTGGATGGCATTATGATCAATCGTAATGATGATTATGATGATTTGAATAAATAAATAACAATTTGATAATCCTACATGTGTGCAATTCTTGTGTAGATGTATCCTATGTGTGTGTGTAATGTTGGATTATGTGTTGTGTTCTGTGTGTGGTGACAATGATAATAAATACAATTTGTTAATCCTAAGTCTGTAATTGTGTTGTGTCCGATGTAAGGTGAAAAATAAAAGTGTAAAAAAAAATAAAAAAAAAAAAAAAAAAAAATGATTAAAAGAATGTTGATGAAAATCACTTAAATTAATTGATGAATAATTGATGAATAAAAATCACTGAATCGAAACATTCTTCGGCTGATCAATGATTACTATTTTGATGAATTGAATTATGTAATCGATCAGCAAGCATGGCAATTTGTTCATATAGTATAACTTCCATTTTAATTTTTTCATCGATGGTGATACATGTTGACAATGCTACGATATAATCATGACGTAGACGATATGTTAGCGGGCAATCATTTCGTAAATGGTAGACGGATTGCAATTCGTATCCACATTGGCAAGATTGATCATCTGAAAATCCGAATCGATACAGGAACTGACCAAACTGGCCGTGTCCAGTTAAGCTTTGTGACAACCAGAAGGATGCATATTTTGCAAAAATTCGTGCGTTGTTTAGATGAGGGCATAATGTTTTGATTGTTGTACCGGCAGAATCATTTTCATAGTATGACGACCAATTGTTGAGCATAATAATTTTTTCTTGTCTTTTCACAAATTTCATTGGGCCATGTTGATATGATAATTGATGATAATGGTTGTTGGCCGTTGTTGCTGCTTTCTTTCTACTTTGTCGTTGGAACCGGTCACTTTTATCAATTTTGCGCCAGCAGATGATTATATTTTCGCTTGTTGATTCGATAATAGATTTGGCAATTTCCGATTTTTTCTTGTTGTTTTTCTTGATAATATGCATTATTGCCCCAATATTGTTGCTTATGATGGTGATTGCCGATGAGTGATAATTGTTCTCGATGATCCAATTGATTGCCATATAAATGATATACAAATCGGCCTGTAGAATTGAACAAAATGTTGGAAATCGGTGTGTTGCCGAAAAAATCAATTGACCATCGAAAATAACCAGGAAAGCCGAACCGATACCATTACTTCGTCGAATTGATTTCGTAAAAACTTGCCTGCTAGTAGTGACAGAGGGCTCACGAATGATTACATTTGGCAGCTGGAGAAATTCGTTAATATTTACGCAACATTTGTCAAGAATAATTTCATTGTCGTCATGTCGGTATTTTCCAGTGATTCTTGCCAAAGTTACATTTGCCACGTATTCAATATGTAATTCCAACGGCGGAGTATTGGTGATGGCCGATAAAGCGACAAATGATGCTGTTGAATACGATTTTGCGATTAATTGGATCATCGGTTTCAACGTTCGACGTAATTCACGTTTCATGTATTGAAATTGTGTGATTCTTTTCCATACGTGGCAGCCATACGTGATTGTAGGCAAAAATACACAATTCAGTAGTAAGTGCGCCGTTCGTGGTGTAAGGCCATAAACTTTTTTAACAATAAACATGATCTTCTTAAAAACACGAGCAGCTTTATCCAATGTTTTATAAATATGCGGCCGGTAATCCAATTTTCTATCGTATGTTATGCCGAGAATTTTGACTTCATCCACCGGTTCAATGGTTAAATTATTCATGGTAACGACCGGATAGGTCGGAGCACGGACACGTTTCGACAAATACATTAATTTCGTCTTGGATTCGGAAAACGTTAATTTCATATTTTGGCCCCAATGATAGGCACTTTTCATTACGTCATTTATAATTATGTTAAAATAATTTTTCGAATCACATGAAACGATCATCGTTATATCGTCTGCGAAAGCTTGTGTGTGTACGTATTTGCCAAAATTGATTCGTAGAAATTGGTCAATAATTATGTTCCATAAGAGCGGCCCTAAAACTGATCCCTGCACGGTTCCACGATTCGTCTTTTTTGCCGCCGTTATGCCACCGAATGTTGTCAATATATGTCGATCGTCCAGATAATCACGTAGAAGAAAGATCAAATACATGGGAACTTTCAGCAAAACCAGCCTTTTGAATTAAAGCCGGGTGCCAGGCGTGATCGAAAGCGCCACGAATATCCAATGAGATTAGCGCCGTGTTTCCATTTTGTCGCATCGATTGTTCCAATGTATTATGGATTTCATATGTCGCATGATCCGTGGATTTGCCTGCCATAAATCCATATTGATGCTCGGAAATCAATTTGTTGGCCACTAAGTATCCACGCAAACGTCGTTCGATTATTCGTTCCAGTGTGCGGGATAATACCGATATGAGACCAATGGGTCGATAACTATTTGGCACGGTATAGTCATCTTTTAGTGGCTTAGGCAAAATTCTGATTACCGAGATTTTCCATAGATAGGGTACGTGTTTCAATTGAAGACACTGGTTATAAATGGCCACAGCTATATCAGGAAAATTCGCCACAAATTGTTTGCAAATGATCGGTGCTAATCCATCAAAACCCGGCGATGTATTATTGTTGAATTTATTTATTGCGTTGATCAGTTCATGACAAGTAACAGGGTGGAACGGCATGTCATCATTGTGATGGATATTTACCCAGTTATTCACCTGGTCACGGATGTACATTTGTTGTTGTGTATCATCATCACTATTATCATCTGGAAATAAATAATCAAGCAACATTTTTACGGTGCTGGTAGGATCAGGCTGGTTGGCCAATGTTCTCGCTGGCATTGTATCGTGATGTTTGAGAAAATTGCACACATTATAATAGTTGTCGATATCATTTTCACTTTTAAAACGTTTTTCAAGATGATCGTCTTTTAATTTTTGTAAATGTTCACGATATTGTTTACGTGTGGATTGATATTGTTCAATTAGGATGTTACGTTGATTTTCATTAAAGCATCTCCTAAAGCGGCGATACAACGACTTTTGTGTTTGTAATAATTCACGGGTATGGCAATCATTATGCCACGGATTCCGTTTTGTTCGTCGATTGTTGTATCGCCGCATAGTTTTTTCACATGCCTGTTGAATAGTGTTGGTGATGAGTGACACACAGTAATCAAGGTCGAATTTACTATTGATTTCGTTGATATAGTCACATGTTATATTGTTATTGTTGAATGAATCGTTGATAAAGGTTGACCATTGTTCCCAGTTGATGTTATTTGTGTTCCATTTGATTGTTGTTGTTACTTCTGGTGTAGTGGGAACAGAAAAATTGACGTCATATGTTATTATGCGATGGTCACTGATTTCTAAACTTTCAATAACATTCCAATTGTGCACATTTGTTGATAATGATGATGATGTCATGGTTAAGTCGATGTGTGATGTTAAATGCCGATTACGGCGGAATGTGTTAAATGTGGGTGTGGCACAATTGTTGATGACGACAAGATTGTTTTGAATTATGGTTGCGAGCAGAAGATCACCACGCATATCGTTAAAATTTGAATACCAAAATCTATTTGATGAATTAAAGTCGCCGGCTATTAAAATGTTTGCCTGGTGAAATGATGTCATAAGATGATCGATGCAATGTAATGTATCACTAATATCATAATTCGGGTTTGCATATACAGATGAAATGATGAGATCACCAATTTGGCATACAATAAAATCATTTGTTGAAAATTCACTTAAAATCATTGGACTAATCCTTTTGTTTAAAATACACACACATGTTCTGACGATCGAATCTGTGTTTTTATGATGAAAAATTGGCACAATTGATGATGGAAAATTTGGCAATCGTTTTTTAATTGGCGGCTCACTGACAATCATAATGTCAACATGATGTTCGTTACAGTAATCGATGAAACTTGTTAATGATGATGGTGACTTGTGTGTGTTCAATTGGGCGAATTTAAGATGATCGATTTGGTGAACTTGGTGATTGTCAGTATTGAATTTTATTGATCACTCGAGATAGCAGGCGGATGTGGACTGGACATTCCCGGTTAACGCTGTTGTGTGATGTGGCATTGGTGATGTTCGAGCGAATGCAATTTAAACAGATTGCTGGTGACGATTTTCTTGGGCACTGGTTGAAGCTGTGGAAATCACCACAGTGGAGACACATTTGGTCGGGTACTTGACATTCACTGATTTTATGATTATATCCGTAGCATTTATAACATTGCATAACCGGTGTCATATCTTCAATATGTGTTGTTTGATAATCAATGATTATTTTGTTATGCATTTTGTCCACGATAATGTCACGTAATTTTGGATTGACACGGATGGCAAAATTTCGAAGGCCAGGTTTGCGATTTTGACGAGCATATACTGGTTCAATTTCTTGTTCAATTTTCAGATTATTTTTGTTGATGAATTCAGATATCAAATGATTGAATGGTTTGATCATGTTCGGCAATTGTTCTTTTTCGATGCGAGCAGGTGCTCCTTTAATAATCATCATCGGATATAATATTCGCGGTGTTTCATGAACAAGTTCAGGTGTGGCTGCAACTTTATCTTCGAATTTCTGTTGGCTTTCCGGACTGGTGAAATCAATAGCTACTTTTCCTTTAGATAATTTTCGTGATTCAACAATATTTATGCCTTCATTGACTGGGACTATTTTTGTGGTTAACATTTGTTGCGTCGCTTCGGAATTTTCGTTGCCAGGAATTGATACAATAGTTCGATGAATCGGTGTTTTGTTTGCTGAATGTTGTTTAATGACCTCGCTAAATGTTTTCTGCAATTGCTGTTGTGGTGCTGGTCGTTGTGGTGTAGTTGTCGCCAAATTGATGTTATTTTGGACGAGCGCAGTTAATTTGTTGATTGCCAATTTCATTTCATTCATTTCCTCACGAATATTCGAGCCAGTTACGTCATTATCCATATTGCCAATGTCCATTATTTCGTCATCATCTTGATCGAGGACAGCACTTTTACGTTTGGTTGCAGTCATCAATCGTTTTCGTAATAATACAATTTCGCTGTACATGCTATCAGCAATGGAAAGCGCTATCAACGTATCACGTTTGATTTCCCGTGTGATGTTGCCGGACAAGCCACCGACCGCTACATGAACACTTTTTATAAATTTGGCATCGGCATCAGTAGTATATCTCGGTCGATCCAAATAATTCGTTAATGAATTGGTGACAGAAGGAGAATCGACAGTATTACGAGGTGTTCGTTTTGGCCGTGTTGATCGTGAAGATGATGCCGATAGTGGTACTTCCTGTTGCGTTGTGGTATCGTTACTGGTGTCGTCCATTTCTTCTTCACAATCACTTATGATAACTACAGGTTGCTCACTCGATGGATTTGATGTTGATGGGTTTGATGTTGATGGATTTGATGTTGATGGATTATCATTTGGATTAGGTTGTGAATCATGAGGTGGAGACAAAATGTTCTCAGTGATATTTGCCCTCAACATTTTCTTGGATTTGGTCACAGTTGCCATTGGCAAACTGGCCACGAACACGACTTGATGCTACGAGACAAACAGCAAATGATTAATGTGAATAATACAAAAATAAATGATACTGATTGATTTGTCAATGATTAAAGATACGCCAATGATAAAAAATACGCCAATGATTAAAAATACGCCAATGATTAAAAATACGCCAATGATGAAAGCCACAAGCGAATATGATTTCGGCCAGTGATGATGATGATTACGGCCAGAAATGATAACGATGGAGCCAAGAATGAGAGAGCCAGGTGGATGGAATGATGAAAGAGCCAATGATGAGCGATCCGACTGGTGGATCGTATAGCCAATGATGAGGGGATGGGAAGTGGGATAATGAATGATGATAAATTTGATGATATGGTTCGAGACCATGTAAGCACAATTTTTATCAAAAAAATCACTGAAATTTTCAATCACCATGCACGAAGAAAATTTCGATTAGGTTAGGTTGGTTAGGTTAGGTTGGGTTAGGTTTTTTTTTTATTTTTTTTAATTAAAATTCCGATTTTATTAGCGGCGATGGCCACTTAATTCAATATAAAAATAATCATGAAAATGATTACAATTGTAGAAAAAAAAATAAAAATAAAAAATTAACAATAATAAAATTAATTTAAGAAAAAATAAAATTTTCCCTATGTGTTCCATCAGGTGCTAACCATTTTCCTCCTATAGGTGCCGACCAGATGGTTCCAGGTAAGTATGGCCAACTGTTTTTCTTCCCATACAGGTGGCTGACGTGGTGGGTGGCGAGTCCATTTCATTTTTTCCTATAGGTGCCTGCCGGATGGATCGATGGTAAGTATCACGGTAGGTATAAATCGGTAAGTACAATTAGGGCCAGCACAATAGGTACACTACCGGATACACGGCTAGGCTAGGCGACAGCATTATTTGTAGGGCAGCCTGTGGAACACATAGGGTAGCTAGAAATACAATAAATAAATAAATAATACATGGAATGGGAATGATGACGGACAGAGGTGCGACTTGGAAGTAACAATAAATAAATAAATAAGAAAGGGTGCACACATGAACCGATAGAAATGAAAAACAATAAATAAATAATAAATAAGATCCAAACGGCTGGTATTCCGTTAGTGTTGGCCATTGATTGATGATGACGGAGGATACCAGCCGGGATACAGTGTGTCTTGTGTGTGTGTGAGTAACATGCATTTGTGTGTGTATGTACAATAAGCATCACAGGTTTTAAATCAATCAATCACCTGCTTCCGCTTCTGTGTCCTGTGTGTGTCTGTATTGTGTACCAGCTTAGTCTGACAGAGGCATGAGGGAAGGCCCAGAACGAGAGTGATACACGACTCAGCGAACCAGGTGAAATCGTTTGCCTACTCCGTAAGTGAGCCACATTACGGTGCATGTCAGATGTCGGCAGTTGTGTTGTTTGTGTAAATGAGCCAATTTTTGGTGGAGCGAAAATCATCCGGCGAGACCAGTTCATAATCGATGCCAGTAATGGTATACCATGAGAAAGCCAGTGGTGTCCGGTTGTCAAGCGAATGTCCAAAAGCCATGAAAGCCAGTATATATAGCCAGGAATAAAACCGAATGATTAAATTATCACAGTTTGTTTCAAGAATACGATTCGGTGGTTGAAAAATGATTCGATAATGTGGTCACGGTACTAGGTCGCGGCTGTTTACGGGAGCCACCCTGAGGCGAACCTAGGCATATCATCGAAATGTTGTGTCCTGTGTGTGTATGTTCGTCTGTCACTGTGTTGTGTCCTGTGTTTGTGTGTAAATTCATGTTAAAAGCAGTGTTGATGATCTGTTGTATCGGTGTCAATGATATGGTGATGAATCGATGATAATTGTTCAATAAATAAATGATAAATTATAAATAATAATGCTGTTGGTTGATCCACCGATTAGCACTGGCATAAATAAATATAATACTGTTGATTTTCATTTGTTCACTTGTAGAGAATACAGTTGGCACAATTCAATTATGATGATGATGGTAGGAATTCTTTCACTAATTTAAACAATTAATCGTTGATCGTTTCAATGGAAGATGAGAATAATAAATATATCACAGATAAGTTATGATGGTGTGGTGAATAATAAATAAAATGAAGGCAACGATTAATTGATTTGATGATGTTGATATTTATCATGCATAATTGATTTGATTCAAACTGTTTTTCATTATTCGCAGCATTACAGGACAATCGCGGCTGGTGGCCATATGATTACGTTGTGAAGGCAATTGTTCAATACGGCAATTCAAACACGTCGGTGCATCTTCTCGATTCATACATTCGCTGATGAGATGCTCACCTCCACAGTGCAAGCAGATCTGTCGATTTTTCCGCGGACAATACTCAGCAATGTGCTTGAATCCAAAGCAATGAAAACATTGTCTTAATGGACTCATGTCCTCTACGTGAATATACGAATACTCGATGTTAACTCGCCCATTGAGCTCGTTAATCAGTATATTACGTATCTCTGGCTTTACCTTCATGATCACATTACATAAATGCGGTTTTGCCGGATTCTGTTTTTTTTCTTGACTTCAATAACTTTATCCACTTCCAGTCCACTTTCGTCGAGAAATTTTGCGATTTCCGGGTTATATAGTGCAATCAGCCCCGGTATCATTTCTTCCTGGTAAGCCACACTCAGGCCTTTCATATGCACCGTTGGTTGGAGGCGGCCGGAGTCACTGTATTTGAACTTTCCATCTTGTGCTAAGATGTTTTCAAATTTTCGTTTACTGCTCGGACTCTTAAAATTTACCAGGAATTTACCATCACGCAGTTTTACCGTATCCTTAATTCTGATTCCATGCTGTGCCGGTATTACCTTGTTGGTAATTTCACGTTTAGTCAGCTCAGCATCATCATTACCGGTGATTGTTACGACCGTTTTTAAGCACGGATCGTTACTACAACTGGCCATAGCTTTTTTTAGGATGCCCGAATACGTGGTTGGTGACTGTGGTGGTGGTGGTGGTGGCAGTGCTGGTTGATTCTCTATGATGGTGGTCGTCAGTTGTTGTTGTTGGTTCATTTTCATCATCGTTTCGTTCATCATCATCATTGTCGATTTGATTTCGTTAATTTCATTTCGTAGTGGCTCAGTTTCATCATTCAATTTTGATTTTTTCAGCTGTCGTCGTAAATTCGTTTCCGCATCCAATCGACTGTACGCTTCGAGTACTTCATCTTGTAGGAGCAGGACGATTTCCAACGAGGCAATGATTCGTTTTTTGGTAAACTCATCAATCGTGTTACCAATTGAGCCCACTTCTTCCAATGTCATTCGTACGAATTCAATATCACGTTTAGTGGTCAATGATGGCCGGGATATGACACTGGAATTCGTCGATGAATTGCTGCTACCAGAGGTAGTATTTGGATTTGAATTGGCCGGATTGTATGGTGTGCTGGTCGTCTTGCCACGTTGGCCATAATTAATTGTTGTTGACAATATTTCACGTTGGTCATCCTGATCATCGATTACCGGTTCGTTTTCGTCATCATCATTAGAACCAGAATTCATATAGCCGCCACCAAGTTGCCGTTGCATTTTGTTTGCGGTGTCCATGATTTGGTCATTTGATTTACCACGTTTTATACCAATTTGTCGTTGATACATAATTGGTTGATGTTTCGTTGGTTGTTGTTTTGATGAAAGTCCGAAGACAAGCTCTGCGCATAAGCGCTCAATTGTGTTATTGTGTGAATGTAACGAAGCACAGAGTTTTTTTTTTTTAAAAACTAATATTTATTTGCAATAAAAAAAAGATCGGCAAATGGCCAATCCAGAAAATCAATACAAACATAAAAATAAGGCGATAGACGCCGGAAATCAATGAAAATGAAAGAAAAATGAAAAAAACAAAAATAAAATAAAAGAAAAAAAGCCTAACTAATAAAAAATAAAAATTTGAATAAAGGCTTATTCCAATAAAAATGTGTAAATTATCCTGTGTGTGTGAAAACAAAGAAATCCAACAGAGCGTGTGTGTCCGGTGTGATTCTGTGTATTGTGTAGCTCTGTTGGTGTGAGTGTGTACAAGTGTGGTGTGTATGGCTGTGTGTGATTGATGTGGTCGAACGTCGGAGACCGAAAGCAATGTTGAAATGAAACTTGATTGATTTCATACGACCGATCCCCATAGGCTGTTGCGAATACGAAGACTTTATGGCCAAGAAAACGTTTATATACTCGATTGGTGGAAAAAATTTTTGATGATGATGACTTTTCGATGGTGATCATAGCAAAAATTTGGATGAACTTGACTGCAGAATTGTGATTGATATATTGCCAAAGTACATTGTTGATGGATGAATTTCGATTGTTGCTCAGTATCGATTTTGTTGTTGTTGATTGACGATTTTTTTCATTTTTGGTTCGTCATACATTCGACCACGTTGTATTTTTAGGATTTTCAAATTGCCGTCCATCTGCGATATTTTAGGATTAACCAATTGAATTATTTGATGATGATGAATTATTTTTCCATTTTAGTTCAAGCCGACTGAAATAAAGATAAGTAACCAGAATATATGATGATGATCTTAGAATTGAAATTGTTTTTCTTTTTAACCCGCCCAGATAATTGTTGATACGTGTAACATGGAACCGACTGTGATATTTATG